TATTCAAGATATGTTGAACTTTTCTCATCTACGTTACCATGATTAGATTCTTAACCTCACAATGGCTTCCCTTAAAGTCGTCACTTACCTCTTTTCGAGAAGGAACTTTAAATGTTTATTAATTTAACTGTTCTATATACTGATTCATGCATATATGTAGCAGATTATAAAGAATGCTGACATTGAAGAACTTCAGGAGCTAGGATCTGGTACATTTGGAACTGTTTATTATGCAAAATGGAGAGGAACAGATGTTGCTGTTAAGAGAATCAAAGAAAGTTGCTTTTCCGGCAGGCCATCGGAGCGAGAGCGGCTGGTGGGTGTTTTATTAGTGTTATATATTCTGAATTATTTTTCCATTGGTTATGCTTGTTGAAAACATTAATGACATTGTTTGACATTTAGAACTCTCCCCTGGAAAAGAAAGGGGACTAAAATAGATTGAAACATCATTTACTTACTTGAAACATGTCTTCTATCTATATTGCTCCGAATCATCATTTTTTGTGAACTACTCATGCAAACACCATATCCGATGTACGTGTGGACAAGTATCGGGATATGACCCTTGAAATGCATACACCCGAGTCCAAGTAATGTAGTACTGTATTGAGGAAAGGTTTCTGTTGTTTTCGGTATTCCTAACTGGAAAATTTGTACAGACAAATGAATTTTGGAGGGAAGCACAAATTCTATCAAAACTTCATCATCCAAATGTGGTCTCATTCTATGGGGTTGTCACTGATGGACCTGAAGGAACTATGGCAACTGTTACCGAATATATGGTGAATGGATCATTGTGGAATGCCCTATTAAAGAAAGATAGGCAAGTCATTACATTTTTGTTTTAATTTCTTGTCTAAATAGGTTTATGGACTTCAAAGCTCTTTTCTGCAGGGCACTTGATCGTCGTCGAAAGGTTATTCTTGCACTGGATGCAGCTTTCGGCATGGAATACTTGCATTCCAAAAACATTGTTCATTTCGATTTGAAATGCGACAATCTGCTCATCAACTTGAAGGATCCTCAAAGACCCATTTGCAAGGTAATTAGTAGCACGTTCGATCGAAATATCGATCAAAGACGTACATAGAATTAACCTGATGATGTGCAGGTTGCAGATTTCGGGTTGTCAAGAATCAAGCGCAACACTCTTGTATCCGGTGGAGTACGTGGAACGCTTCCATGGATGGCACCAGAGTTGTTGAACGGCAGTAGTACCCGGGTTTCAGAGAAGGTTTGTAACTTAAAACTGTGCGCTTTATATAACGCTAATCGAGGAACGAAAGATTTGTTCAAGAAGACAGAAAAAGAAAAGATCCTTATGTGCTTGTTCATTGCTATTGCAGGTTGATGTTTTCTCATTTGGTATTGCAATATGGGAGATCCTGACTGGAGAAGAGCCATATGCAAGCATGCATTGTGGTGAAATTATTGGTATACTTCTGCTAACTTTATATCAATGCCTTAGGCTAAATACTTCAACATCTCAAACCCGGGGCTTGCTCCGGAGTTCATAGAATCACACGGTTCCTAGGGCTTAGTCTACTCGGTTCGTCAACTGTCATTACGAAAAGATAAAAAGTGTTTTACACCATAGTGATTCAGATGGAGAGTGTTGAATTCATTTGTTTTACTCCATTTTCACATGTTGATACCATGCTAGCATTTACAAATAATGGTGTTGTCTGAATTATGTGAATGAAGGCGGAATCGTAAACAACACACTGAGACCTCCGATACCGGAACGATGCGATCCGGAATGGAGAAAGTTAATGGAAGAATGTTGGTTGTTTGAGCCAGCGAGCAGGCCATCATTTACAGAGATAATAAACCGGCTGCACGCCATGTCCGCGGCATTGCAGCCCAAACGGCGCACTCCGGTTAGATGAAACACTAGAAGAAATCTCCCTTGTAAGTAATACATTCATACATACATACGGAGAGAAAGAGAGAGTATAGATTCATGGACATGAAGAAAACTTCACAAAATTCTCTGTAACATTTTGAAGTCAATTTGTAAACTTTATATTTATTAGGGTAAACAGTAAACTTTTAAACTTTTAGTGCGCTTGCATTTTGGTCACTAAACTTTAAAACTTGCAATACATCACTGAATTTTTAATGCATCTCATTACAGTTACGGTCGTCAATTGTGTTAATAAAAGTTGATGCGTCACATGAAAATGCTCTTCTCCCCAAAAATTCCTAAGCTTTGTAGATTTGAAAATGGCAATTGTCGCTCTTCTTTTTGTCGTCATTTCTGCAGTCTTTCGGTGGTTTCTCCGATCAAAAAGATCATTGAATTCTTCTTCTTTTTCTTACTTCAATTCAAACTATTGAAAAACCTTTCAGTCTTTTTAAATCCTAATTGAAACTAAAGATCCACAACTATCAACCGCCTGATTAGCTTGAAATCGAACTATGTTAATTTCCTAGCCAAGTATAACCTTCCTAGTTCCCACCATTGGAATTGACTGACAACCACTTGGTTTTGATATAATTGTGGACGGTGACAGAATGAGATTGTGATGATGGCTCGAGTTTTGGCTGGATTGGTCATGATGTTGTTGTGGCTCGTGATTATGGTGTTTGAGACTTGGATGAAATGACGGTGACGAATGGCTCGACGATCTTGAGAAAACAGTATAACTCTTGAGTATGGTGGATGTTTAGTTTAGTGGTGACGACAATCGAAAGAACACCAGGCGGTGATGACACAAGCAAAATGAAGTTGACAATAATTAATTTGGAAAAAAGTTTAGGATTTAAAAAAATACTTTAACATGTCACATCACTTTTTATTAACAGCGATTGACGACATTAATTGTAATCAAAACGAATTAAAAATTCAATAATTGTATTATAAGTATTAAAAGTTCAGTGACCAAAATGTAGGTGCCATAAAAGTTTAGGGACCATTGTGTTGTTTACTCTATCTATTATATCCAACTAGATTTCAAATGCTAATATTCATAAATGCCATTTGTTAAGTGTGGCTGTGAATTAAGAATCTCGAGTTCGGAGTAGAGGTGAATCTGATGACCAGAGGCGGAGCCACAGCTGAACGTGGGTGGTCACCTGCCACCTTGAAATCTAAATTTTTGTAGGTTATTATTTATTTTATTATCAGTGTATCTTAAAATTCTATTTGTACACACCTCCTTCAAAAAAAAATTATATTGTTAATATATGTGTGACTACGTTAATAAATATTTCGAAATTTGTCACTGAATTTTAATATTGAGATCAGTATTAAAAAATACTCATTTCTAAAGAAACTGTAAATACTCATTTTTTGTTCGATCTTTTTATCATCAATCATTTGTGTACAGATATTCACTCCTTCAGTGGTTCAACTCCTGTATCATCAATCGTTTGTGTATAGACATTCACTCCTTCAGTTCGCGTATGGTTTTATCTACTCAAATTTTGTGACGGATATAAAATTTTATGTTAGAGGGAGATTTATAAAATTTTAAAGGGGGAGAGAACTTGTAAAATTATAGGGTCCGAACACAAATTATCAATAAAAAATAAACAAAAAACTCTTAAATATATGATAATTTGAAAATTTTAGGAGTGCCTCCACCCACCCTCTGTTCATCCCTGCAGCCCAATGTTTTTGAGGTCTTTCTAAGAAACTGTTACTATACTCAGATGGCTGCAGCAACGATCACGCAACGACTTGATGCAACTTTGACTTACAAGCCAGAGTCCATGTAAGATTTTATGCTAGGGAGACGATGAACTTATAAAATTATAGTGGGTGAAAACAAATTATTTGTAGAAAATATAAAAAAATATATGAGAATTTGATATTTTCTGGATGCGGTCGGATAATGTAATGTAATGTATGAATAATGGTCTCTGCCAAGACAAGATTCCAAACAAGTAACGTGTAAACCATTTTGGTAGTTGATGTCAGCAAAGCATTTGAGATGTGTGGTGCAGGTAGCTTCTCCCTTGATATCGAATTCTGCGTTTTGTAGCAGATGAAGCAGAGGAGCATTGGTATTAGCCTCAATCACAGCCTGCACAGTTCATACCCCTGCATATCAGCTGAAATCAGACACAATCTTAGATAGCCAAATATCGTTTCATTAAAGCTTTGCTAACAAGAAATCCAACCCTAAGATGTCGGAGATCTTCCCTCGCAAGGAACAACTATAGCAAATGAAAATTGAGGGAACACTGAAAACTACTGTGACTAGTTTTTCAACATTTGTAACAAACAAGACGCATGTGATGTCCATGGCGGAATAGGAGTATGCACAGGCCACGTATCGTTCACAACAACAGCTTTGCATATATGGAATGGACTCCTCTGTATCTTATCACAGCACGATGGATGAAGCACACTCCCGTAGATGCTTCTCACGTCGATAGCAAACGTAATCTTCTTGGTTGCGAGGACTCTTTGATCGTTGGTTGAAGAAGCACAGTGGAATTCGAGGTTGAAATCACATGAACATCTGTATCTAGTTCAAGTTGGTGCTTCACACAACCATCTGATCTAATAGTCATATTATGTTATTAATCTATGTACTACGTATTTGTTATTAATTTAGTCTATGCATTTTAATTAGTTAATAATCTTGCTACTTTTTTAATTCAATTTTTATTCCTCGATCAGATAATTTCAATTTTTAATTTTAGGGTTCACAGGGCTTGCGAATTTGGGGGAGATTATTGGTGATAGGAGGGCGTACCTGTACCCATAAATCCATGATATGTTCAACAATTTTCACTAAAATCCACTCTACTTTTTTATTTGGTCCCACTACCATAACCAAATTCAAAGATTTACCACCCAAAATGTGACATAGCTTGATTAATTTAATTTCATTATATCATTAATTGGTCTAAATAATTATATCATAAAACATAGATAGAATTATTTTAAATTTAAGTTCAAAGATTAAATCGAAATTTTAATACGGGACAGGTGCCAAAACCATAATTTGACCTTTTATTTTTCACCAATATTGAAATAAAATTTCCGGGTATTTAACAGCACAATTAGCATTTTCACCTTTTTGCTAAAAATTCGATGGTACATAGAGGGACTAAAATGAACTTCTCGGTATAATAGAGGAACTCCTAGCATAATTGTACCCAAAAATAATTGCTTTCAAAGGAGTAAATTGCATTTAGTCGCATGCCATTACTCTCTACACACTAGCTCTAATGAAAGATTGTCATCCTGATCCTCCATTAGCATTCCAAAAGCCATTTTTGCTCCATATGCAATTCCGAGTTTATTCGCTCATCAAATATACCGATCCTTTCCCCTCGCCGAGTGCTACATTTCGAGTCAACAAGCAAATTTTCTTCAGGACTTGAATGGATCTGGGAGGAAGTTAATTGAGTTTATTGAGAAGAAATATACCTATCTCCAATACATGTTGACTTAAGACCTTTTTCATCAACATTGTGCAGGAACATTCCCGTTCAAGCGATAGATGACTTGCAAACCGGGCATGACGTTTTCCTCCTCAGCCATGGATCGATACACTGCCACATTGAGTGAACAAAGAACAAAAATTGTTAACTTCCAGCGATAAGCAACTTGAAAGCAATCTGAGAAAACAGAAAAGCATAGTGGCATTGTGGAGATAAAGAAGGCATTACATCTTTATGAAATTTATGTAGACAAGGAAGATGGCGAATAGTTTCTCCAATGGCGGGGGTTTCAAGACATACGGCACAAGATTCGTAATTATCAGTCTGCGTTAATTAAAAAACAGTAGCAATTAGACCTGGGTATCGAAACGTATGCATCTGACAAAGAAATAAAATTAAAAGAACTATTTAATTGGTGTTTTCTCACACATAACCTGTACTTTGGACAGTGGCAAACAGTTAATCTGGTTAACCGATGCACCGCCATGCTGATGATTGTTATCATCAAGGGCCAACAGCATTTCATAATCATTTCTGCAAGATAAAGTGAATGGAAGATTAGTCAACTCTGAAGTGTGATTTAATATTGATGGGATGTCTACCAAAATTTAAAATTGTTCACATTGCATCATTGCCACTGCCAGAGCTGGTCTTTACCAAAGCTGGAGCCATATTGAGGCTGCATTTGCCTTTAGCATACCAAGCAAACTCTAAATAAATTGTCAACCAAATGAATGGTATGATCATTCAACATGGTCAAAACATATCCATAATAGAAAAAAATCTTACTCATTAAAATCACGTTGAACTTGGAAGATGCGACTAGCCATTCCCATGTCATCAGCATCTCCCATTGCAGCTTCCATGGCTTCCAATATATCGAGCCTCTGTGTCAGAAAGCCATGAATCAGTTATTGTTGAAAATAAAGCAATGCATGATACACCAAAACCTGTGTGTGTGTGGGGGGGGGGGGGGTTATTTTACCATATCCAAGTCCATGTCTAAAGGGAATTGAAAATTCCTTGTCCTGGATGGTGCTGCTCGAGTTTGATTCAAAACTCGGTTCCTCAACCTTGAAACTCTAGCAGAAGTGGGGAAATTAGTTTGCATTCCTCTCCTATTCGAAGAATTCTGAAAATTCCTTGATGGAGGCTGAATATGAGATTGCCTTGTTGAGCCTTGCTGCATAAGAGGCGAAGAATAATATTACAGGAACTTATACAAATCCAAAAAGAGAAGTGTCAACTTCATATAGTTGATGACAAAATGAAAACATTCTAAAGTACATAAATAAAAAATGACCGTAACATAGACATCTATTTTATACTAGGAAAAAGTGAAACTTAGGTTGAATACTAGCATACATCATGATACTAGATAGGATTAATACGATATGGATACTACAAAAAAATGTCCTTTCACTCGACTCAAAAGCATAAATGATATCCCATCTTCTCAGGTAGCAGAGATAGCTTCAATCAAACATAATAATAGAGTGAAGGTCATTTTGGATCTGCCGTAAGAGAAGAGAGTACTCATAAAAGTTGGTTAGCTGTTAAGCATCTAAATACCGGTTCAGCAATGGATACCTAACATAGTATCTATCATATTGATTGAAATAAAACTTACTTAAAATTATCTACGGATTCCATAAAATACAATACACAAGAAAGCAATTTGGAGAGGAAGAAGAAAAGGCGGGAGAGTCAACTGATAGAGAGGAACAAGAACAAGATAATCCAATTAGCAATGATCAAGGAAACATTAACTTCCAATATTATACATGAAACCAAGGGGAAAATAACCACTTAGGAAGCAACACATTAAATCTTGTGTTGCTACGAGAGGGAGCGGGAGAGGGAGGGTGGGAGAGAGAGTCGACTGATAGAAATAAAAAGGAAACTGATAGAGAGGAACGAGAACAAGAGCATCCAATTAGCAATGATCAAAACATTAACTTCCAATATCATACACGAAACCAAGGGACAAATAACCATTTAGGAAGCAACACATTCAATCTTGTGTAGCTACCAGAAAGGATAAGATAACAAGATAAGCTTAATTATCAATACGAATATATATATATATATATATTCAAAGACTCATGTCTAGGGGAAACATTACTAAACCCAAGTCTATTCCACTTTTGTATAATCCCATTATCATTGGCAACCCCCTTTCATTTTGTGCTGGGATCTTTGAGGACAAACCCATTATCATTTTGTGTATAATCCTGATCATTTGCCATGCTGGGATCTAGGGAAGCATTACTAAACCCAAGTCTATTCCACTTTTGACAGCAAGGCTCATGTTTATTACACAAACCTAGAAGCTATATTACACTTACAACCAGAATGGATTTCACACATGCACAGGCTATTTCATGCTTTAGTGTAGGCTCTCTTTATCATCAACGCAAAAAACAAAAGAAACAAATTCAAGCTTACTAACATGATCTGGCTCATGGAGAGCCCGAAAAGATGTAGGAAGGAATGCACCTTCCTCCTGCTGAAGTGCCCATGCAATGTTTTCATCAACCTGTTAAAAGATTCATAAACATTTAAAGCAAAGGCATGTAAATAACAAAGTCAACGGTAAAATGGGAGAGAAAGCATCAAATCGTCATCATAAAAGATCGGGACCTCATGATATAATTGTTCTTGGAGTTCACGGGCCAACATTTCATCCACTTCAATTTGTCTTGCATTAGCTTCTGTGTCCTCCTCATTCATAGAATCCATATGATTGGCATGTATCCCTCTTATTTGAGATGAGTTGTCAAGATCCATAACATCCAGATGCTCCGCAATATGAATTCTAGATGACCTTGAAGTAGATGATTCCAAAGATGAACCAAGAAACACAATGTCCGGGTCATTAGAAGTGACCCTTGAGCTTTCACCATTATTTCTTGAAGATAATACATGTTTCATTTGCCTTTTAGGTAGCATGTTCGCCTGAGAAGGTTCACTTCGTTGGTTTATTTTTGTGATCGCAGAAGCTCTCTCAGTTGCATGAGTTTCAGAAGAATCACATAGAATCCTGATCTTTCCTCCACTAGCATGATTTCTTTTCACAAGTCCATTTTCATTTCGTTGACTCACTTGACATCCAACACTATTAAATCTACTTAACTGATGTTCAGCTGCATGATCTACATTCTTTGAACGGGTGTGAGTGCTTCTCCATCCACCTTTTTCTTCAAAGCATGCATCTCTATTCGCATCACCAATACCACCGGCTTCTCCACTATTACTCATAGGACTGCAACAGGAAAACCACACAACCAGGATTCTCCATACATCAATATAATATGTTTTGAAATAAAAAATTAAAAGAGAAAAACTAGTCCTTTTTATCACATGCTATTCCAAAGGTTCTGGCAGAAATTGTGCTTGTCACTTTAGCAAAAGTTTTAACACAAAATGAAACCAGTACACAGTATGAAGAAAACATCCAATAAACAAAGAAATCTAGCTAGAGAACAACACTTAAAATTTACCTGCCAGATAAATTAATAAAATTGATATCATGCTCCTTACATGCATGAGGATGGGCAACTCTTTTTCCTTTACCATTATTATCATTATCTTCAGCAACTATCTCGCTAATCAAACAAGGACTGCTGCTACCCATATTCACAAAATTTTGTTCAGGTGTAAAGTTGCTTTGGGGTTGCTCATTTTGTTTAGCCATGCTGGCTATATTATGGGGGGAGATGCAGCCATTTCGGACCAATCTTCTTTTCCCAACAGCTCTTGGTGAGGCAATTGAATGATGAGAAGCAGGCAATTGTTTTTCCATTCTAAGAGGGGAACCATTAGAAAGACTCACCCCTTTTCCATTAATTGTAACTGAACCTATACCTTTAAGTCCAACATCATCTACTTTTTCCTTTCCCTTGCAGCTATTTCTGGATGTTTCAGAAAAGTCTGAAGAGTTAAATGCATAAAAGCCACCATTTCTTGGTGCCTGACCTTTTCTTCCTTCAGCTAAGCAGTTTTCAGATGCACTTTGTAGAGATGCCATTTCACTTATTTGATTGTGTGTTTTCTGTTCAGTTAAATCTAGGATGGCATGATCTTCGGGGAATCCAGATGATTTAGAAGGTAACTTAGAGCAAGGTGCTTTTCCTTTATCCTTGTCTTGCTCTCCAAGGGATTTTCTGCTTCTCTCTATTCCTGCTTTCCTAAATAAAGGAGTATGTTCTCGAGCATTCTCTGCCGGGATAAGACAATGGTTTTTTTCAGACTCTCCATTTCATAAGGACTCTCAGAAAGTTTACGCGGGTGCAGATAATGTTTTCTATTGAGCCCATTTGTGGAAAGCAGCCTACCTCTGCGCCTTAGCCTATCCAAAGATCCTTCACCTGTAGTATTAGAACCTCTCACTTTGTCAACAAAGTTCCCTCCATTCACTTGCTTTAAAGATGGCCTATCAGGAGTGTCGGGTATGTCCGCTACTGAATCGATGTCCATGTCCTCCATTTTCTGTATTTCACAAAACACAAAAGTCATTCCTTCACATGAAACTTCAATCAGAATTGCACGAATTTGCATCTGGTCTATAGGCAGTTAAACAACATTACAATCCAAACTAAATATGCCACCACTAGAAAGGTCACCTTTTCATGATGATAATATAAGAGCAACTTAGCCCACCTAATAAAATCAATACCTTACCTATATTACTCTTTCAGACTTTCTTAAAATGTTAATTATTCCATAAGCAACATAAAATGGGATAGAGAAAGTTAGACACCAATATCGCTCTTGCAGATGGCTAATACAGCAGCAATATACAACAAGCAAAAGTAAAATTTCGCAAATATATTTTACTTACAGAAGCAGAACTCTCATGCATTTTTTATAACTTCAAATAGCATAAATTGGTTCCTATTTAACATATAAACTTTGAACACACTAAATATCCACATATCAAGCAAAGATGGAATAAAAAAACCATGTCCTTATACAATAAATGTAAAATAGTGAAAAGAATCAAAATAGTTTTTTGAAAATAGAACTTGCTAGGAAATATCAAAATACCTAAATTGAAAATTAGAAATTTATTGTTACTATGAAGCATAGAAAAACAAACCTTTCTCAGTATATACCCAGGCAATAATTATTCAAATAGTAGCTTGATTATAATAAAATAAACACTAAAAAAATAAAAAAGACAAATATACATAAAATTCTAATTCTAATAGCATTGAATATTAATTCCTTTGAATAACTGATATTAATAAAACAAAAAGGAATCTATATCGGTGTAGATAAAAAAAATCATACCGATTTTTTATTAAAAAAAAACTTTTTCCAGAATTGAGGGTTAATATTTTCAAGATTCGCCCATTCAATAAATAAAATAAATCAACATAGCGTCACAAAAGGCAAAAACAAAAATAAAATCAAGGGATTTTAACATTGAGAAATTCAAAAAAAAATAATAACAGTACGAAAATTCGTTACCAGATTTTGTTCGTGGTGATCGGAATCGAAAAAATCGAAGAAAATTACAGAAGAAATTGTATCCTTCGAATCCCTAAGAAGGCAATGGCATCTACGCTTCTCAGAGAGCCTCTGGCCTCGCCTCTACAAATTTGGGTTTTGTTCGTCTCCAATCTTCAATTTGGATAACCCGGTCCGGGTCGGATCTAAAGGTTGGAGCCCTAGAAATTTTTGGCTAGACTTGTTTGAAAAATAACGGGTCTTGTTGATTATTTATTAGGGCAGCAGAACGGTGGGTGTTTATTATCCGATATCGAATTTCGGACTTAATGTCAATTACTAAATCTACTACAGTTAAACTAATTTATAATTTATAATATTTATAAAAATGAATTTGAATGTTTTTTAAATTTGATTAGTAAATCTATTATTTTAATAAATCTTTTATTTTATTAATTTGACATAAATGGAAGTTCATACAAATAAAAATTCATGCATGAATTTATTTTGAATAATTTTCTTTATAGAATTAGTTAGTTTTATTAAAATAAAAAATATTCGTAATTATAATAAAAGTTTACAATCATAATAGTAAATTAAACACATAATAAAGATATTTTCTTATAACAACACAAAAATTAGTCACTTAGGAAAATGAATCACAAAAGGGGATAAATTTATTGAAAGACAACTGGCAAACCGTAAATCAGTGGCGGATGCACTTGGAAAAGTGGTTAAATTTAGCTTAATGTGTTAAGGAAAAAAAGGAAAAAAATTACAATTTTTGCATACCCATTATTTTTAAGAAAATAAAATTTAAATTTTGGACTCTCATTCTTAAATTTTGGATCCGTCATTGTCGTAAATCATAGTCAAATGACATAGGAAAACAATCCACGACAAATATCAAATCCAACCATGAGAAAAAAAAATAAACAAAAACAATGGTCAAACAACTAAAAAAATGTCAGAAGACAGAAAAAAATGTGTTACATAAAAAATGTGTCATAAAGATAGAGTTATTAAAAAATAAAAGAATACGAAAAAAATCAAAATATAATATAAGAAAATAAAAAAAATAACGACGATAACCAACATCAAAATGCTTCGCATATTAATTAAAAACGAAGAAAGGAACTAACAATATTTAAAGTAAAAGAGATAAAACCCTAAACCCTAGATATAACATATTTTAAAAAACTAAATTATAAATATGAATAAAATTATAAATTATTTAATAATAAGTATATTAAAATTTCGTTTCAGATTTTAAGATTTTAATAATAACCGGTTGTAATTCACTAGTGCATAAAATTCTTATAATATACAATAATTAAAATTTTAAAATTATTATGATATAGATAAAATCATATTAATATAAATTTTAATTATTATTTTAAATTAATTATGCTTAAAGTATTATAATTATATATTGATATTAAGATAACACTATAAATAATGTACATCAGTTTGATATTTTTAATCAAATGGTATCTAAGGAAGATCACTAAGAGAGAGAAAATGGTAATGATTATTAGCATTAATAAGTTCGAAATATCTAAACAAAAATGAAGCATGAGATTAATGGTTTTTCGGAAAGAATGTATGAGTCATGTTTCAACGACAAGCAATAATGAACTGATAGTATGTCCCATCTTTGAAATTTTTAAATTTTTATATAATTTAAATATTTTATGTTCGGATCGACGGATCGACGGGTTGAATCAATTGGATTGTGTATTTTTACACACTCCTAGTTGAGATTATAGACTACAAGTGTTCATGGTTAAGCCATTAGTTACAGATTAAGGAAAGCATAAGATTTAACAAATGTGATTGAATTAATGAACCTTAAGCATGTAGTGTTTGGATTATGAATCATACATATATATATATATACTACTTATCACTATTTATGTTATTATGCTTATGTTTATGATATTCATATTGTTCTAAATTAGCGATATACTACTAAATTATGTATAGCTTAACATTTAGATGTTTTTGTTCGTAGGTTAGTAGTCATATTCCTTTAGAGTATTATATTATTACTTTTAGTGGATAGTGTATTCATATGACCCTTATTCATGTACTGAGATTGTAATTATATTATTATGTTATTTTGTTTTAAATTATGTGTTATAGAACTCTAATTTTGTATAAATATTTTATAACTGTTATGGATATGTATTTTGATAAATCATGTTATGTTTTAAAAAAATGAAAGAAGATTTTTATGTTGACGATTATCTCGACAACTTAATGTGACACTATGAACTTATAAGAGTTTAGAGTGTTACATATTGTATAATTACTCAAGTGAGTAATTAATTATCAAATATAAGTAAGTGATATTAATGGTCAATTTAGATTAATAGTTTTTTTTGTGCTCTCAGTTTCTAAGGTTTTGCCCTAACTAACTTGGATTGATTCGGGTCGTATACAAAGACTTGAACTCGAAACTTGCTTAAGTGATATTAAATTGCTTACCACTTGAATCAACCCGTTGGTAATTTAGATTAATAGTTAGTTATAGATGCTATCTTCTTTTCTCCTTCCAAATAAATATAATGTAGAAATTAAAAAAATTACGTCAGCAGGCAACGTTAATAAAGTTTTTAGTAAAAAGTCGATGACTAAAATATAAGAAGGGCAATAATTAGGTCATTAATGATGTTATTTATCCTAAATTATTATAGTGTTCAAAGTAGAAATTAAATACCCCTGGCCACTCAGAGGGCTAAACGTAGTAAAATGGGCACTGTCAGTGCATGCTTTAATGGTCTCAAAGTAGAAAAATGGGATCTAAACCGCGTAATAGGTAAGAAATTTCTTTCAACATTGAATTTTCTCCAATCTCCTCCACCTTATAATCACCCAAATAAATCTTCGAAGATGGGAGAGATTAAGAGAGAATATGAGTATTCACATGGAGTTTTACTACATCCTGCAGCTACCATGGCTAATAGGAGCAGCCCATTCTCTGAATTGTTCCGAAACATGTGGGAATGTTCATATTCCGTTCACGTTTGGAATCAAAACAGACTGCTATAACAATTCGTGGTTTAGGGTACTTGCAACGAACCCGCTGATGGGCCAAACCCTTTCATCACTCGAATCAATCTGCAGCTACAAGATACGTATCGGGAACGACGGGAAGGCGTTGTCGCCGTCAACAATACGGTAACTTATCTAAACTGTGGCGGCGATAAAGGAAACAATGGCACCACTTCTGCTTCGATCGTCGATCTAGAAGGCACACCATTTTACATCGAAAGGATATCAAACGGATTCGGGTTGAAGCCACGTGGCCACTGCTTTTAGCAACAACCAGTCAGAGCCAATCGCCAGCTGCCTACAGCAAAGATGTGGCCACCGGCTGACTTATAGCTTCAGTGGCTGTTATGATCCAATTATTGAAGATCTCACTTCCATTACGGTAAGCGTGACGGAGGTCGTCATTAATCCTGGGAGCAACAGATGCACATCTGCTTTCATATATGCGGCCACTAACATTCTAGCCCCACCGGATGTCGATATCAATACGATGCACCGTGCACGTTCCTGCAATTCTCGGCTGGAATCCATGCGCTTTGGAATGTCGCCAATTTTACTTTCATCACTTTTGAAAAATATTTCTTCTTGCAACAATTAGTGCAGTAAATGAGATGAGAAAGATTGCGAGCTATTTGAGATTTACTTAGTCAAAGTTCGATTAATACTCGAATCAAATAAACTCAACTCGAGTTCAAATTTGACTTGAGTTCTTAACGAGCCGAAGTGAGCTACTTAATACCGAACTCGAAAAACTCATGAGTAACTCGAAAAAATAATATATTAAAATTTTAATTTTTTAAACTAAAGTATTAATATATTAACATTTATGTGTTATTTTTCAAAAAAAAAATACTATATAAGATTTTTATGTACTTAAGATTTAGCTTTGGGCTTGAGTTTAAGCTTCAATCGAGCTAAGTCTAAGAATATTTCAAGTTCAAGTTTTTTTGAGCTCGAGTCAAGCTTAAAAATTTTAAGCTCACGAACTTTCGAGTTGAGTTAAGCTTCAATTTTTTTATTTCGAGTTGAGCTTTACCATTTTAATCTCACGAGCTTTGGATTCAAGTCGAGCTCAACTTTAATTTTTTCGAATTGAATCAGGCTCAACAACACTCAAACTCGAATTGACCCGTTTACGGCCCTAGCAACAATGCTTGGAATATATTGATAATAAGCATACTTAATTGAAAACATATTATATGCAGGCCAACCGTGAAACAAAGACCACCTAACAACTATAGTCTGTACTACAATTTGTGGGGATGTTGAGATTCCGGATCCATTTGGAATAGAAGCTGGATGGTACATGAATGAATGGTTTAGAGTGACTTGCAATGAAAATATTGATGGGGCAAAGCCTTATATAAGTAGTATCAATTTGCAACTATTCGATGTTTCGGTTTCCGACGGCACGGTTGTCGACAACTATCCGGTAACTTCTTTCAATTGCCACAAAAAAAGATGGAGAAAACAGTTGGGTTAGTGTCAACCTCACAGGCACCCCGTTTTTATTCTCAGCTACGTACAACGTTTGGCTACTTTTCTTCGCAGTCCGACGGATGAATATCCTGTTTGTGGCTGTGTGCAACCCGATTGTGTCGGTTCTGTGACTTTCAACATTAGCTGCTTTACGGATATTCCTTCGGATCGGAGTTCCTTCGCTGTAAACATGAGACAGATTTATCCTAGTAATGCAAACAGAGGAAGTTCGTGTGGATCTGCTTTCATTGTTGATCAACGGTCCCTGGGTTCACTCTAGATGATGAATTTGAGTCAATTTGACACAAGTGATCGGACGTTGACCCACGTTCCCACAGCAGTGCAATGGGCCACACCAAAATGTGTGTTGTGTAGGATGTCGAATGTTTTCGGCAACCGTTGCAGCCTCGATGGTCGATACTGTTGAGAAAGAATAAGCCCAAGCTATATCTGTGTTTGCACCTATAATAACAATGACAGCAAACATCTTTCAACTGATGTATGCCAAGGTATCTTATTAATACATAAAAGTCTTAGGCTTCATTTGGATGGACTATTACATGGCTTTGCTACTTAACCTTTCCATATGAAGCATTACTGTAC